GACAGAGTAACAGTCTAGAGCCTGCCACCTTCAGTGAGCAGCATGCTTTTGGCCTCATGGCCCTGCTTGCTTCCCTGTGTATAGGAGTCTGCAAAGGTTCCAGGCTTCTCTGTGCTTTGTTCCAAGGACATTTAAGGAACAGGGTAAAGAACCATGCCAGAAAGCCAGACCTGTGTCACTCCCCATAAGTCCCGGGGTTTGTGATGTCCCTGCTCACCAGCAGAGTCCTTCCAGACAGTGGCTGCTCGTCCAGCTATACAGAAACCTCAACAAAAAGTTGAACTTAAATCGTGTCTGGGTATGCCTGTCCTGGGTTTTAGAAAGAACAGGAGTTGGGCTGGAGAGATGGCTCAGTGTTTAAGAGCACTGACTACTCTGCCAGAGGTCCTGAGTTCAATTCCCAGCAACCACATGGTGGCTCACAACCATCTGTAATGTGATTCGATGCACTCTTCTAGTGTGTGCCTGAAGACACCTGCATTGTACTCATATAAATAAACAAATCTTTAAAGAAAAAAGAAAGAAAGAAAGGACATGAGTTGTTCTTTTTAGGTCAGGTTTGGAGAACCCCAAGACAAGAATGTGTTGCCTGGGACATGTGATCTTCTGGGTCTGGAGCAGGGCTGCCTCTGCCAGAGAGCAGTTGGGAGGAATGGGAAAAGATAGCCAGGTCATCCATGTCCACTGCTCCCCTGATAAAGATACATGTGTGTTACAGTTACTAATTACAGATCATGTAGCATAAGGGGCAGGCGTTCAGAGCAAGAAGCTAAAGTGGTAACCTACATGTCAGGGGATCTGTCAGGCTCCACAGCCAGCTTGCTACGTGACCTTGGTCTGCTTCTTTGGTCCTGGTGAACTGTGCCATCCTCAGCTGTGAATTGGAACCAATCTCCAGGGTTTTGTAAGACTGTTTGTGAGGCTTCTTTGACTGATGCCTGACTTCTGATGATGATGGTGTGTACAGATGTGAGGGTAAGGTTTTCTGAGAACAAGCTATTAGGTCCAGGTAGCTAAGGTAAAAAGGCCAAGACACTGAGAGGTAATAATCAGAAAGTCCAAGGAGTTGCTGTAAGAATAAAAGCTCCAGTGTTTGCATTTGTAGTTGTAAGTTAGGCTATGATTTTAAACATGCTTGCACACAAGTATGGGGCATGAATGGCTTCTCACAAAGAGGTTTCACCTTCGTGATTCAAATGGACACAGACGTCTGGGGTACATGATAGGCTCCCGTTTCCCCCAGATCTAAATGACTCAGTGACACAATACTAAAAGCTGTGACATTGACCTTAAGCTCCCAGTGTTTGAATTCTGAGCTTTATGATAGATTTAGGCTGTTGGTCACTGAAAAACAGTTTAATTTTCAGAGCCTTTTGTAACTGTGCTCTAGTTCATACAGAGATGTGGCTTTTGTAATCACATTGTGTACTTTAAACTGTCAAGCAACTGTATTGTTTGGTTTGCTGGCATTCTGAAGTCCATGTTATCACCTTTGAATTATTTAAAGTTATGAAATCGTGTGTGAATTAATAATTCCTCATTACCCTAGAACTGCAACAAAATCGTGGTTCCCTTCTTCAGGGTACCTAGAAAGGCAGGGAAGTCTGTAGGTGGCTAATGGATCTCTCCTTCTACCATTTCCCAGCCAACCATGGGAAGGTTTAAACAAATCACTCATCCATTCTCCACCTTCATTTCCTTATCTAGAAACTAGACAAATTAATGGCACCTGCTCTTGGACACAGGGCGTTAAAAATGTCGCAAGTGCTCTCAATAGTCTCTGTGATAGGGTAAGCACTCGACTACACAAACACCAGTGTGTGGCCACTAACGCTGCTCTCCTCGAACTTTCCAGCTTGTTTGGCCCCTTCGCCCACATTTTCCCATTTGAGAGTCGTGATAATGCTGTAAGACAGGCAAAACAAATACCACAAATTATGAAAGTGAGTACAGAAGCCATCATTTCCTCATGGTGACAGATCTAGTATGTCAGACCAGCAAGGTAGCTCGATGGATAAAGGAGCCTGCTGCCAAGCCCCATGCCCTGAGCTCACTCCCTAGACACACATAGTAGGGAAGAACAGATTCTTGCTTACTGTCCTCTGTCCTCCATACCTGTGCTCCATACATGCACGCTTACAAGGCCACATACAATATAAAAAACAATACATTAACAAACAAACAAATATATGCAAACAATGAAGACTTTTTAAAAACTAGCTTATGAACAGTGGCTGCCAGGGTACTTGGGCCAGTAAACTTCCCCACTTTCACCCTGTTACAGCTTCTCACCATGCTGGGGAGAGTGTTATCATAGAGTACAGGTCTCCTAGACACCCTCTCCTGAGTGACCACATATTCCCAGGATCCCACAGTCTCTTAGTTAGAGTTTTACTGCTGTGAACAGACACCACGACCAAGGCAAGTCTTATATAAAGGACAATATATATTTGGGACTGGCTTACAGGTTCAGAGGTTTAGTCCGTTATCATCAAGGTGGGAGCATGGCAGCATCTAGGCAGGCCTAGTGCAGGAGGAGCTGAGAGTTTTACATCTTCATCTGAAGGCTGCTACTAGAAGACTAACTTCCAGGCAGCTAGGGTGAGGGTTTTATAACCCACACCCACAGTGACACACATACTCCAACAGGGCCACACCTTCTAATAGTGTCACTCCCTGGGCCGAGCATAAACAAGTCATTACACACAGTAAGGAATGTTACTGTTCTCAACTTGTGTACCAGCATCATAAGGTGACCTAATGCCCAAATAAAGGAGTTCCATTTGATAATGGGAGATGACAGCCCATATCTTTCAGCAATGGCTCAGTGCTTCAAGTTCAGTCCTTTCCCAAACATGCTCTCATGTAAAAGAAGCACTGGCTGAAAGGACAATAGAACTGAACCTTGTCCCAGCTTTGTCTCAAATTTCAGAACTGTTTTTCTCCAAAGTTTCATCCAAAGGTCTCACATCCCCTGTGTGTTTTGGGGATATTCTGAAATGATGCCCATCCCCATTAATTCTGGGACAATAACACCAGCACCTAGAAAATAGCAAGCAAAGAGCTCTGAGAATTAAGTAACAACATCGATCAGAGGGTACCTATCCTGCCCTGGTCTGGGTCCACCAGGAAAGTGAATGATCCAGCCATAGGGACTGCACCAGCTTTAGAAAAATCAGCACTGTCCACACCACCTGGCCTTGTCTATAGATAAAGAAATTTCTACTCTAAGAGAATGGCATGATCACTGTGCAGACACAAAACAATAAAAAAGAAATAGAAGCCAAAGGTGGACTGAAATACCTTGCACTATTTCCTAGAACTTTAATATGCTGGTGATTAGCCTCCTGAGTCTGGCTGTTACTCAGATCCTAACAAGCAGCAGTCAAAATGTAACTTGGGTTTAGTCATCTGATAAAATAGTGGTGTCTAAAAATTAGAAGTTTTAACTCATGAAAATCATTTATTTTCCTTTCAAGAAAACAAATATTTTCTTAGTTATTAAAGGGATCTGGACATAGATGTGAGGTAGTGGACTATTCTTTTCTTTTTGGTCCCAGGAGCCAGGCATTTGCTGGATTTAATCATTTTGAATCTTTGTGTCTCCTCTGAGATAGGGCCAGATGTAACCAGAAAGATTTATAGGGTGTAAAATTGAGAATGGATTAAAAAAGGTTCTCTGTGTTCTGCCCAACACATCCTAAATCAACATTCCCCCCCAGTGGACCAGACCAATCTCTGGCTGGCCAATTGGGGCAGTTGCCATAGCAACTGACTGGCAAGCACAGGCAGTAGAATGTGAATGCGAACAATGGAATGATAACATTGTGTGCAGAGCTGCATTCTGAGACTGCTTCAAGACAGCTGCATCCCGGAATTCATTGCATTGGGGTTCACTCCCCTCACCCCCCATAGTTCCTACCTTCGTGTAATTTCGCTGCTCAATTAAAATTTATTGTTTTCTTTCCCATTCAAAAACTTTACTGCCGTAAATAGTACTGGTGAGAAGGAAATCCGCCCCCACCAGATAGTTGAAACAGTGTTACAGAGACTGCTGGGTTATTGGATTAACACTCAGTTCAAACATCCAGAGGTTGAAGGAGGTCTATGTTAACTCCTGTGATTCTTTAGCGCCACCTTGTGTCCTGTTAGATACTGCTTAGTCCCATGACTGGGCAGCCACTGAACAGACAGGATAAAAATTAGGACAGGATTGTACAGGAGCTCTTTTGGTAGAATATGCACAGGGTCTTTTCTAAATCATTAAAAAAACGTTAACTTTGACGGAATACAGCAAAGAGAGAAGAATGGAATTCAATGTCAGTTTTAGAGAAGACTTTAAAAGACTACATGGTGGCCAGACAGAAAATCCTAAGGTATCTCACTTTTCTCAGAGGAGTCAGCCTTGTGGCCGAGCACAACAATTCACATCGAGATGTCCAGGAAACAGAGCAAGGGATAACTCCAGAAAATATAGCACCCAAGTATACAGCTCTAGTAATGAACTCAGAGCAACTAAGCCCCACCCCTGCCCCTCACTGCCTAGCAATAATGCCACAGAGAGGTTGATACATTAAGTCAGAGTCCACAGCATCTAGATGTATCTGGAAAAGCAGTTGCAGCCACATCCAGTGTTTTGTTCTTAATCCAGCCAAGTCAGCCAATATTTATGATCACATCAGAGGCAGGAGCAAGGTGTTAGTACAAGAGGCTGGTGAGGTTCTTAATAATAATATATGAATTCCATTTGGAAAATCTCTCTGCCCTTGCAGACAGCAGGAATGAATCAGTAGAGACAAATAAAATGAACATCATCAATCCGTGTTTATAACTCTCTGCTCTGGTCAATGGGTAGCACTTCTTGCCCAGCTGCCGTCCCCGTCTAAACCACAGCCATCTTCCACCGGGGCCTTCGCCCCCTTGACATTCAAAACCACAACTGAATCCACTGGGCTTCAGAAACATGAAATGACGGACCTGTTTCTGTGTGTTTCCTCCAGGGTTTGAGTTTTTTGAAACCAGCGCCAAGGATAACATCAACGTGAAGCAAACCTTCGAGCGCCTCGTAGATATCATCTGTGACAAAATGTCAGAGAGCTTGGAGACCGACCCAGCCATCTCGGCCGCCAAGCAGAGCACGAGGCTCAAGGAAACCCCTCCTCCACCGCAACCCAACTGTGGCTGTTAATGTCTCCCACACAGGAGCTCCAATGGGCTCCAGAGCAGCCAAGAATCAGCATTTATAAATGGTCTATTAGCCTTCAATTATACTGCCTAATAATTATTTGAAGGAAGTCTTTGATGTCAGTGGCCCATATATGCATTCAAAGCGTGAGCTATCTCCTGTGTTAATATGTGGCAAATTTGCTCTTATATTTGTAAGGATCATTCATCTATAAACACCTGCTACTTGCATGTAACATTTATTTCTCTTTCATAACCTTTTTTTGCAACTTTTTTTCTCAATTAAGGTATTGCGGAAGCCCCAGACTATAGTTTTACTGCGAATAACTTTCTTGCCACGGATTCAAATCATGCTTCTCACTTGGATGGATGATAACCTAGGGGCCCTTTGTTTGTGTGTGTGCGTGAGTGTGTGTATGTGTGTGTGTGTGCTGTGTGCTGTGAGGAGATGTCAGGAAACTTAGTTTTGCCTTTGTCTAAAAAGAAAGTGGGACTTTTGCTCTTGACTGGAGACCCTATCACAGGTCTGGGAGTCTACTATTAGGAAATGTATATATATATTGCACTTTCATTAATAATATCTGAAGGGTGTGTTGACTTTAAAAACATTGAGGGGTTGGGTGCAGGGTCACCCAGGAGGCTGAGGCAGGAGGATAATGAGTTAAAGCAGCCTGAGCTACAAACTGTAAAATTCTATCATGGGATAAGGAAAAAAGAAAATGAAATTCAGGCCCTTGCAAGATTTTTTGAACCACATAAACATAATGGAGGTTTTCAGACCCCACTGCAGTGACTCTTGCCAGTGATCCTGCGTATCTGTGCACCTGTGACAGAGATGACTCACAGAGAGATAGCTACTTAGTGTCAGCTGCCCAACAAGCACTGTAACCAGAAATGCTGTGAGTAGCTGTGGAATTCCATGACCTGAGCGGCCTCCATCCCTTAACGACTCGGCCCACACCACTAAACACCACCGTGGCTCTCTGGAACCAGCACCAATTCTGAGCTAGAAATTGGCTAGAAGCTTTCTGAAGGTCCCTCTTCCTATAAAACGTAGGCCAACACCTCAACCACTGCTCTCAGATCCAACTTCAGCTAAGCTTTTCCACCTACTTAGGAGGCAACTAGGTAACCTTTCCATGAGTCCTGCATTGAGGAAAAACAGTTTTATAACCATATTTTTCAAAGGATTTATAATTTTAAAGCATGCCTTCCTTACATAAGTCTCTAAACATGCTCAAGTTAAAATAGAAGATTACAAAGCTGAGTGGTCCAGAAAATTGACGAGCCATGGCAGTTGAAGAGAGAGAGATGAGACACCTGAACATCCAATCTTTTCTTCTAGGCTTCCTAAAGACCATATAGAAATAATATGCAAAATCCTAGTGGCAGTAGTACCTACTTTTAATCCCAGCATACTGGCGGCAGAGGTAGGCAGATTTCCGAGTTTCAAACCAGAATGTTCTACAGAATGAGTTCTAAGAGAGCGAAGGTTACTCAGAAAAACGTGCTCTAGAAAAAGAAGAAGAGGAGGAGAAAGAAATAATATAGAAACAACTCTTAACCTCTGTGCCAAATGCCAAGAGAAATCTCTGCCTTCCAGAAGCATTTGCGAAAAGGATCTTATGAAGACATAATTTGAAGGATCAGTTTCTTTACATAGACTTTTTTCCTTTTCGGTGGTTGTGTAAAAGATCCACTCTTCCCTTCAGAAACAGAGAAATATCACCTGAAAGGATTTAGCACAAGCTTGTTGAGCAAGGCTGTTGACAGGATAGTATGTGCATGTTTTCTTCTTGTATGCTTAGTTTCAAACTTATAAATTAGTGGTAAGTTTCCACTTTGACACCCAGAGGAGCAAGTGTTGGCTCACCAAAGATAAGAAGACACTGATGATTTTTTGGAATTTTAATGACATCTAAATTCAAGAATCATAGAAATTAACATGAAGGGAAAGAGAGAAGCAAGGGCATAAAGTATTGCAATAGTTACTTTGCAATAGTATTCATATGTCCTTTTTCTATGACCTGGGTCATAATGTAGCTATATTGAATACTATATCTGTCAAGCTGATTGTTACAATCTAATACAAAACAATGAAGTCAGGAAGCCTGGGCCTCTTTCTTTGCATGCTTGCAGTGAGCATGAAAGGCCTCACAGGGTGCTTCAAATGGCTTCTTCAGAAGGAGGTTGGCAAGCATGTGTTATAAAAAGAGAGCAGGTAGGAGAGAAAGGGAAACAACCATGTTGGCTCATTTGAAAATTTCCCCAAAGAACTGGTTGAAATTGATTGACTGAAGCCAAGTGCCCACATATATGCTCTGTTGAGAACTCCAAAGTTAAGCCCATGCTGTGCTAGTCAGCGGAGAGAGGGACAACAAAAAGCCTAATGTCATTGCCCCAGGACATTCCATACTTCCTGTTTTCCAAACTCCCATGGAAACACAGTCATCCCAATTGAAAGTTATGAAATTCCCAACCTGCCATATATTTCACTCCAAACAATTCAGTGAACATTTCCAGAGAGATTCATCACTCCTGGGAGAGAGAAGAGTTGCTGTTCCTAGTGTCATCAAGAAACCTTAGCTGTAAAATCAAATTTGGCAAATGGGAACCAGATAATAGAACATTTATAAGCCTTGACCTATGTAGTTTAAAATCCTGAGGTTTTTCAACTTTCGGCCACTACATTACATATGTACAAATACATACTACCTCTCCTGCCATCAGCCTAAGTATGAATAGGTCCTCCAGACAACCTGGCTAAATTTGTGTCTAAAAAAAGATATTTTTCTTTCCAGGTCTTAGACATCATTTTTTATCTCTGATGCAATTAAGTTAGTATTTTAAATGTGCCCTTGCCTTCCGCTGTGGTCATCTGGGTACCCCTGCCCATCCTTTTTTTTTTTTTTTTTAAGAACAGAACCCTAACTACTTCAGAGCAGAACTCACTTCAGTTCACTCCCAAGAACTCTGGTGTTGGTTCATCTGTTTCCTTTCTTAATGCAAGTGGAAGGTGTTTCATCTACATAGCCATCTTGTAGTGTGAATTGATATGGGAGGCTCACAAGGTGTCCTCATTCCCAAGATGGTGAGTTACTCACGAGCATCACGTCTATGGGCTCACAGGAAAACTGCTTTAGAGCAATGGCATGGCCCAGCTCCCTGTTATTAACCCTGCCAAACAGCATCTACTGCCATCAGGAGCTTCTCATGACTGCAGAGAGCAAGAGATGTGTGCAGTCTCTCCCCAGGGCCATGTAAAGTTTGGTATCACTCGCTGACAGGTAAAGAAGGGCTGAGAGTTGTACTGGCAAAGAATGTATAATGATGCTTCCATTCTGGTCATAAAGGTGAAATATAAATTCTACAAAATTGCAACTGAAGACACCAATGTTCTCCATTAAAAAATCGATTTCTTTGACTTAGTTCACTCCTGCTCAAATTCATTTACTCAGCACATTTATCATTTTTTTTCAGGAGCCAAGTTAAGCTTCTAATTTTAGTTACATCTGTGACAACAATAATTTTAAACTAGAATGCATTCCACTATTAACCGAACTTCCACAAAGAGACATTAACTTCAGAGTATTGACGCTCATGGTGGTTCATTAACATGCTTTATCTACTCTGTATCTTAGGACATCGCTAACTATGCCCTTTAGCGTTCAATTTTGTTTTGTTCCTGTTGTTGTTATTATGTGGCACTTGTGGGACTGTATTAACAATGTATCCAAACTCTATTGAGCTTCACCAAGTCAAGATAGAAGCTACATGTGAAAACAAACAGGGACATGAATGATCTTAAAGATGTGACTAAAACTACTCTAGACTGCCAAGTTCATGTTTGCTGCTAATCTTCATCCGATTTGGGGAATGTTCAATCAACTATCCTGTGGTGTGATGTGCTTGCAAGCTAGCCCATCTGTCTGGGGAACTGTCTCTGTCTAGATTTTAGTCTTCATGACAGACCCTGGCAACCTCTTGTGTGTGCGCTCTCAGTGTGCTATGTGAGGCTGCACAGAAGGCCTGTCTGCTCACTCTGAATGGTACAGTGTCCACACTTCTGCCAGGTAGTGGATGCTATCTACACTTCAGTTGTCTGCCAGTGGAATGGAGATGCCTCCTTCAGTATGCTAAACTGCTGAATATTCAAATAAGCTTTGGAGTTCTTTATATTTTATGTAATTTTTTTCTAGAAATCATAACAGACATAAGTATGTAATCTTATACCCTGGGGTTTAATTAGAACATTACAGTTTATTGATATATTTACAGTTGAGACATGCTCGTACCGCTGTCTCCACCCCAACACAAACTTCCAAAAACACTCTTTTTGGTGACTGTTGGAACTTTCTCTGTGCAGACAAAAAAGGAACATTTTGCTGTGTACCATTTGTAATCACATCTCACTTAAAAGTTCAATGCAATGTATTTTTCATGTGTATTTGCTTAGTCTGTGGCCATTACTTCTAAAAACAGAAAGGGTGGAGAGAAAGGGCATCCTGCAAACACTGGAGGTAACAGAAATGAGGCATCTCATCACCGAAGCTGGGGCGAGAGTACTAAGTATCCTGTAGCTAAGGACGTATTAGGCTTTATCTTTGTGTGATACTTTCATACTGCCAGATTTTTAAAAATGAGTATAGATATTCTAAAAGCATTAACTCCACAGAACGACATCACCTCACTGTTCAGTTCTGCTCAGCAACTGTGATTGATGGACTTTCCATCTGTCATTACTTGCTGAAATGAGGCTGGGACTACCTGTCTACTTCATTTGCCCGTGTTTATTTTGGCTTCATTGTGGACAACTGAGAGTTGCTGTGGCTGCTTTGTGTGTGTGTGTGTGTGTGTGTGTGTGTGTGTGTGTGTGTAGTGGAAATATCACCATGTTCTTGTCATTTGTGGCTCAGGATCGCTTAGGGTCATGAATGCTGTTCTCACAGACCCATGAGCTGCATGTCTACCTGGCCTGTCAGGGATGTAAGCATGACCTGTGTCTTACTAGTGAATCCATACTCCTTGTCAAAGTGAAGTCTAGGGATTGTCTCCTGTGTCGATATGATGATTTCCATGCAATTTTCATCCTCCCTAGAAATCGTGATCAATGGGATCTGTCCTGTAATTCCTGTTAATATATTGTTAATGTCAGATGTGACGTGATGCCATTGGACCGTCCAAATGTGCAACTCCTTCATGGTGTTCGTAGAACTGAAATGTCGTAAATG